AATAATCCTACAAGTCGAATTCGACCACTGTATAAAAAGCTCGATTGAGCTCAACTAAAACTTGATTAACCAATCTTGAACTCGAATTCCACTAGGTACCGAGTTTGAGTTTCAACTTGATTCATTGGGCTCGAACTCGATATTGTAGCAACCGAGTTGAGTATCTAGATACTGGACTCGATTTTACCCCTAGTTCGCAACATATTGTGTAAGTTTAATAATCGAACCATATTAAATTGAAAAAATTGGTACAATATAGTTTGGTTTATCAGTTTTTTATTGGGAGCTTTTTTTTTTATAGTTTAGAGATTTTTTTATATTTTTTAGGGGTTTTGTAATTTTAGGAGATTTTTTTAAATAAAAAAGATAAAAAAAAAATGGTTTGATACACTACAGTTTGGTTTGGTTCGGTTCGAATAAATCAAGAATCGAAAATTGTATCATACTATACCGTTCTTAAGGGAAAAAAAGAAAAAAAACGAATGATTTTTTTGGTAAAAAAACTGTAACGTACCATTCAATACGGTTTCACAATTTGTTTGTCCACCCCTAGATGATACCTATTTGATTGAATCGTGTTATTATTTTATAAATTAAAGTTTATAACATATAGTTTAATAGAAATTAAAGATACATTATATTGGTGACATAAGTTATATTTGTTTATGGGTTTGTTATATGAACAATATGATGAAAGATTTGAGTTTGAATTCAATTGGGATAATCATTGATGGAATCATTTGATGATTTTTTACATTAAATTTATAAAATGTAAATTAATTTAAATACCCCACAGCTTGATCTTATAATATTTATTGTCTAATGATACCTTTGATTATATATGTATACTTTATTCTTCTTCATTCCATATTTCCAATTTTCCATTCAGATCTTATAAATAAAATTTTAATTTTTTTTTTTTTTTAAGAAAAGACAGAAAATAGATGTCTTTTTTATAACGTAAAGGTTGACACGTTTCTCTGACAAAGCATTGATGAGGTGATGACCGTTAGGACAGCTTTTTAACACATGCTTCATGCCTTCATCAGCGTAAATCCAGTCAACACGCACCGTTTCGGTTGACTTTTTTAATTTCTAGGTAACCTTCAATTTTTATTCCGATATTTTTTGTTTTATTATTCACCTGTTTTTTTGAATTCTATTCGAAATCTGCTATTGAAAAGCGTTTAGAGCATCTTTGAGGGGTATTTGTCTGAGTTTATGAAAATTAACTTATAAGCAACAATTACTTATAAGCTAAAATTAACTTATAAGCATTTGAAATTTTAAGTAATTACGTGTTTGTTTAAAGTACTTATAAGTGACTAATAAGTAATTGACGTGTTTGGTAAAATGTGGCTTATAAGTATATTTTATTATAAAATTACTAAAAAATGTATTACATTAAATAATGGCATACTATGGAATTTTAAAATTAAATAAGGATAATATGGTAATATACTTGGTCAAACTAGCTTATAAGCAAAGTGCTTATAAGCCAAAAAAAAAAAAGTACCTTCCCCCCCAACTTATTTTTTTTTAGCTTATAAGCTCAACTTATAAGCTTAAAAAAATTATAAACAAACAGGTCAGCTTAATTTTAGAGNTGAATTCAATTGGGATAATCATTGATGGAATCATTTGATGATTTTTTACATTAAATTTATAAAATGTAAATTAATTTGAATACCCCACAGCTTGATCTTATAATATTTATTGGCTAATGATACCCTTGATTATATATGTATACTTTATTCTTCTTCATTCCATTCAAATCTTATAAATAAAATTTAATTAAAAAAAAAAAAAGACAGAAAATAGATGTCTTTTTTATAACGTAAAGGTCGACACGTTTCTTTGACAAAGCATTGATGAAGAGATGACCGTTAGGACAGCCTTTTAACACATGCTTCATGCCTTCATCAGCGTAAATCCAGTCAACACGCACCGTTTCGGTTGACTTTTTTAATTTCTAGGGAGCCTTCAATTTTTATTCCGATATTTTTTTGTTTTATTATTCACATTTTTTTCAATTCTATTCGAAATCTGTTATTGAAAAGCGTTTAGAGTATTTTCAAAGGTGTTCTTTATTTTAAATAGTATATTTTACATAAATAAAGATTATTTTTATTAATTTCTAAATATAAAAAATAAATTTTGTATTCAAGTCCAATAAACTCTTTAAATTATACTTAATATATATGAGAGAGACTTAATAGAAGAGATAATTAATAATAAAATATATGAAAACTTGTAATTTATTAAATAAAATTGAGATAGAGAGTATTCACTCTTTAATTTATATTTAAAGAATAAAGAGTCTATTAAACTCTTGTTTTTATGGATAAACTCTTATAATAAAGAGTTTAACTCATATAAAAAGTCATTTGGAGATACTCTTACAAACTAAACTAATTAACTAAACAAAGTCACGTGATTATCGACCTTTCATAAGGTTAGTAAAGCTAAACCGAAATCCTATGATATTATCTCATGCATATGTATTAAGAACATAAATTGTCTTTATCTTGCGAACAATGTTTTAATAACCAATCTAGGGTGAAACCTAGCAAATGGCCGGTCCTAGGTTGATCGGTTTAACCGATTTGACCAATAGGTCAAACCGGTGTTTAAAGGTTTGAAATCCAACAAAAAAACTCTTAAAAATTACATATAAGTTCCTAGGTTAGAAATCTTGCAAAAACACCTTTATTTTATATTATTTTTAAACTTGCCCCCTTAAAAATTCATTCCTGAATCCATCCTTGACGAGCGTGGGATGGACATTAGACTCGCTACATGTTATCGCCATGCCTCACTTGTTTGCGAGGGTTACCATTGCTCATGTTTTCGTATAAAATTCTAAAGAATTACGATAATAAGTATTTACTTATGGCAAAGTTTTGTACAAAAGAATTTGAGAAATAAATAAATCTACAAAATCCAATTTGATGCTTAACAAAAAATAAATTAATCTTATTTGAACCAATTAAGAGTAACCTCTTGGCCTTACGCAATTAATCAACAAATTATATATATATATATAACTTTAATAATCGTTTATCTATAATGATGGTTGGTCAAGGTCCATTGGGCCTTTGCCGAAAATGGGCCGAGATGGGCTTTAATTTTATGGACCGACAAAAAAATGTAGGGAGGCCAAGTGATGCCGAAATTATGTGAGTCTTATTTTGGTTTTTTCATTTTTGGCAACAATGTTGCTGCCAAAAATGTGAGGGCTGCACAAATCAAAATTATTGGTTTTTAAATTGAGACAAATATTTAAATTTGATCAGATGGTGGCAGTAAAAGCACTTATGGGCAACCAAAAAAATTTAAAAAAAGTACTTTACGGCAACACTTTTATTGCCAATTTAATTGAATGGTTGGTTATAAATTATTGTGACATTGATGATTTGTCTAATAAAGATTGGAAATTTAATTTAATTTTTTTAATAGGATCAGTTTATGCGTACTTGATTAATTCTCAAAGAGAATTATCCTATAGTAACCCACTGTTGTAGCTTCTGAGATAAATTATAGACAAATATATTATATTTGCACTCAACGAGAATATAACATGGGATTGTGGGTTGGAACATTTGCATCCCAATAACCTTAACTTTTAATATGAACAAAGAAGAAATATAAATGAGAACAATAGACAAAGATCCTAATTAGTTAATGAATGATGGTGACATTGGTACTTGAATTGGTGAAAGCTTGGTGAAGAACACTAGAAACCTTACTTGGTAAGAAATTACCATTTTTTTTTATCAATCTTTTTCAATTGGTTTTGGATTTTTATGAATTTGCATGCAACCTAGACTTCTTTTCTAAGTAAACACTAGTTATTTATTTAAATTAAATTCAGTTATCATAAATAAGTTTTTTTTTTTTAGATGAACGGGGGTGTTAAAGTCAGCTTACTACATACCTTAACTAATCTTTTAAAACTTTAGAATTATTGGTCTGGTAAGAGTTTTGATAACTATTTCTATTAGCAACTAAAGAGAAACTCGAATTCAGAACCTCTTGAATCTCTTGAGTAATACACTTAAGAGTCCCTATTGAACCATTTAACTATTTAGAGGTAGTTATTTTTATGATATAACAGGGTATATTATAAGATATATTTCTATGCGATCAATTAATATGAGACGATTTATATAATTTTTTAAAGGGCTATTTTTATAATATCAAAATAAAGATGTATATCATAAAAATGTTCTATTATATAAGGAGGTATTATATCATCGTTAAGATGTATGGTTAATGCACATAGTTTTAAGTTCGAATTTTTTAAGCAAGTGACCATGACAGTGGGATGCTGTGCCAATCACTTTTACGCGCAAGCTAATCTAACACAATTTTTATATCATCACGTTAAGTAGATATTAATTTTAAAAGTTAGTAATAATATTATATCGATAGGATTAGAAAGGTTATGTAACAATTAAGGAAAATGTTGGCTTAACAATTAAGAAAAGTTTAGTGCTAAATATTGCCAAAAAATTCTTACTAAATTTGTGGCCTAATTCCTATAAATTTGGATTGAGTAAAAATATTTTTTAAGTGCCATTTTCAAGTTGGTTTTCATCAATATCAACAATTAATTATGAAATTCAATGGCAAGATCTCCATTCAAAAAATAAACAATTAGGAAGCAAGATCTTGATTCAAAATTTAAACCCATCAAATCAATTTTAAAATCACCTTAATCACATCACTCTCTCAATAACTAATTACTATTTTTATCCTCCTAAACATTAGCTAAATAAATTAATTTTTGGCATCCCAAGAAAAAATATAATGAAATATTTAAATAAATGAAATATAAATAAACAAAGGAAATTACAGTTCTACGCTCCATCCACACCTCTCTCTTATTAATTAGTATCATTGTCACTTTATTGCCAAAAAAAGATTCAAAATTTCGTAAGTCCAAATATAAAAGAAAGCCTTTTAGAGAAGATTGTGTGCAGACGTTAAGTGTACTGAGCTAATGATCATGGAAGATCAGTGAAGAAAAAGATACGGAAACTGAAAGATCTTCTCTTAACCCAACTGGGAAAGGAGAAAGCTCAGACTTCTATTTTTTCTATCTCTTTCCGTAGTCAAAGAGTTGAAAAACGGTGAATAAATGAGAAAAACAAGAATTTGGTTGGTCAATTTGCTTTATAAGTTGTTCAGGTAAAAAAGTTGAACCAAAATAGCAAGAGGGTTAAAGTTATTTTCTTTTGCTTTTGTAGTTTGAGTGGTTGGAAAGAGAGAGGAAGTTCGGTTTTTTTATTTGATTGAAAGGGAGGGAAGTGGAAGGCTTTTTTGGTTTGAATTTGAGAAGGTGCGTCGAATCTTCTTACTGTTGGTTGTTTGTTGTGAATATTGTGATTTATCACAACTTTTTTTTTGTTTTTACTTGCACTTTAACTTTAAATTTTGTATGCTGCTTTGTCTCTAATATTTGTTTTTGTATACTTTTCGTGAGTTTTGAACCTTATTTTATAGTAATCCTTTTATGGCATTTCTGTATCTTTCTGTGACATCTTTTTGTCTTGTAATGCAGAGTTCTTCACGAGGTTGTGTCAGATTTTCTTTTCAAAATAACACTTCAGAACCCCCAAATGTTTATCCTTTTTATTTTTTTTTTATTTTAAGGTTTTGATTCCTTTTTTATGATTATATTTTGCTCCATACTGTTCTCATCAGTTCTCTTCTTGCAACCTGTAAAGATTCTACAGATCTTTCAGTCTATAAACTCCACTTGTATCTTTTGATTCAGTTTTTGAAACACATTTTTTTTTCGTTTCTCTCACTTACCCTTCTTTTAAATCCTTTTATTTCTCAATGAACTCCACTTGTCTCATTGTATCAGTGCTTCACATTTTTGTTTATTCCCTCTAGTTGTGTCACTTCAAACTCTACATAAAGAGAGGGAATAATGTTTCTTAACATATTTTAACGTTTTGTTTTGTTTCGTTTCTCTTGTAATCAAATTCATCTTCTTCAGTGGCAACAAATATGGGCAAAGCTACAAGGTGGCTAAAGGGCTTGCTGGGTATGAAAAAGGAGAAAGAAAAAGACCATTTAGAGAACTCATTTTCAGATTCAAATTCAAGTTTCAGTGACAACAGGAAGGAGAAGAAAAGGTTCAGTTTTGGCAAGTCATTGAAAGACAGAAGTGTGAATTCTCAGATTCGAGCCAACATTGCAGCTAATATTCCAGCAAGAGACATGGACTGGCTCAGGTCATACATTGCAGACTCAGAAAGTGACCAGAACAAGCATGCAATTGCTGTGGCTGCAGCCACCGCGGCCGCCGCAGATGCAGCGGTGGCTGCGGCTCAGGCAGCCGTAGCGGTTGTGAGGCTGACTAGTAATGGTAACAGGGCTCTTTCGGGTGGAGGGAAAGAGAAGTGGGCTGCTGTGAAAATTCAGACCGTGTTTAGGGGCTATTTGGTATGTGGGATTTTGTTTTTGATTCATTTACTCGCCACTTTTTGCTTTAATTTGATTTCACAAATAGATTTTATCAAGTGGGTGGTTTTATTTTATATTTCCAATGTTTCTGTTCACTAAGGCATGTTTGTGTTACTGCCAAATAGTTATGGTAAGTTTTTCGGTTCACTTTTTGCTTAATTTTTACTTATGTTGGTGCCATTAAAATATGGTCCCTAAGATTCAAATGGTAATGGAACAGTATAAATGCTCTTTTTACTTTCTATTCTAGTGCTTTTTAACTTTTTCTTTTGCTTGGAACTGTAAGAGTGTTTGATTTGTGTTTGTGGTGGTGCTTTTCTTAATTGCTACTTTATGTCTGTTCTCTAAAGCTGGTTATGGATTATATTTTGTTGGTGAAACAGTACATATGCTTTTATAGAGTCAATGGATTAGTTGGCTACTTTGACTTAGCAGTTAGCCCAGTTTTTCTACTTCTTGTATTCTGGTCCCCTACCCTGAATTTGAAATTTTGAAATTTGAAGTCTTGTTTTCTGAATTGGGTTTCTTTTGTTGCTGCTTACTTTTTGTGAATCATTCTTGTCATGATTGGTGATTTACAATTGCATTAAGGCTTACCCCGTTTGCTGATTCTGCTTTTAAATGAATAGTTCTGCATTTCTGTGTATTTGAACTTCAGTTTGGTTAATTTCAGGCCCGGAAAGCCCTTAGAGCGTTGAAGGGATTGGTGAAGATACAGGCTCTTGTTCGAGGGTATCTTGTCCGAAAACGGGCAACTGCAACACTTCACAGCATGCAAGCCTTAATCAGAGCTCAAACTGCAGTCAGGTCTCAGCGTGCTCGCCGCTCTTTCAATAAAGAGAATCGATTTCAACCAGAGTTTCGACCACGAAAATCCATCGTAAGGATACTCTCCATAGTCTTCCTTATTTAGAGATCGATTTGATTGGAACATTTGAGTCTCATTTGAGTGTTATGAATGTTTCCAGGAGAGGTTTGATGAAGCAAGAAGTGAAATGCATAGTAAAAGAATATCTGTATGTCTTGAGAGTCCAATTAATGGATTTGATGAAAGTCCTAAAATAGTCGAAATCGACACATTCAAGCCAAGATCAAGGTCTCGTCGCTACAATGCTGCATTTTCCGAGTGTGGTGATGAGCTATATTACCAAGCAATGTCATCACCTCTTCCATGTCCAGTTCCAGCCCGAATCTCAATCCCCAATTACCAAAAACATCCAGATTTTGAATGGTGCTTCACCGGCGACGAATGCAGGTTCTCTACCACCGCGCACAACACCCCTCGTTTCGCAAATTCTGTTCGATCTAGTGCTCCTCTAACTCCGTCCAAGAGCATATGCGGTGATATGTACACCAGGGGTTATTCCAACTTCCCAAATTATATGGCAAACACACAATCGTTCAATGCAAAACTGAGGTCCTACAGTGCCCCAAGGCAAAGACCTGAACCGGGGGTGAAGAAGAGCCTTTCGCTGAATGAAATTATGGCTTCAAGAAACAGCATAAGCAGTGTGAAAATGCAGAGGCCCTCCTGTATTCAAGTTCAAGAAGGTTTGAACTAGGAAGTGATTGTATTTGTGAGAAGAAGAGTTTGATGATAAATTTGGCTAAGGTTTAATTTTTCTAGTTTTTATGTTAACCGCAAGCAAAACAGGATAGAACGAAAAAAAGTGCTTGTGTAAATTCTTTCAATATTTCTTACTGAATCTTTGCCTTATCAATGAAATGAGAGAGCTCTTCAGTTTATGTTGCAAATGTAATTGGTTTGTTCTTCACTTCACAATTTACAAACCTAGTGCTTTCTTTATTTCATCTTTTTTCTTTGGTAATTTTATGTTTAAAAAGTGTTTTTTTTTTTTTTTTAATTTAATTTAATTTTATACTTCTTGGGTTTTATATTATACGCAAAGGTCCTTAAATTTTAAATGTACAAATTAAAAGTTTTTTTAAAATTATAAGCATTTTTTATTTTTTTATAAATTATTCTGTCTTGACTAATCTTTGGGTGAGATTAGCATACCCGAGGAATGCTTAGATGAGCAATCCCCTTCCACTTAAAACTGTGATGTTTAGATGTAGAATCGAAACTTAGACCTTACGCCTATTTACACAACCTCTAATTCGCCCTAACTATACCGCCAATGGATTCTGTAAAATCTTTATTTTGATAAACTATACTCAAAGAATTTGTACCAAATAGACCCTAAATCTTAACTTGCATATTAAAATGTTTCAATATTAGTTAATTTTAATAAGAATATTATCAAACTTTAGAGCAAACAACTTTTTCCCACCCAAGGATTGCCTTATTGACACTTTCCCACCCAAAAAGTTTCAAAATACTACTTTCTCACACAACGTTTATATTCTGTTAATATCCAAAATACACTTCACTTTCTCAACCAGCGTTCAACGAATTACCAGGAGCCAAGGTAAGAGGGTTTTTGTAGAATGGAGGGCGGTGGATCAAATGGTGATGACTGATTGAATATTCGCTGTTGACTGGAAATTAGCTAAGAACAACAAGAAACCTTAGCTTTGCGGTGGCAACAATCGGCAAGAAATCAAGTGCCAGAATGAGAGGGGTTTTGTAGAGAGTAGACCAGAGGTTCAAATGGTAGTGACATAGAAAATTTTCGCTGTCAGAATCGATTAGAATTAGCTTTTGGTAGTCACTGAATATTAACTTTGAGTGAAAAAATTGTATTTTGAAACTTTTTGGGTGAGAAAGTGTCATTAAGGCAAACCTTGGGTGGGAAAAAGTTGTTTACTCTCAAATTATATAAGAAAATACTTGAATATCTTATTTATGTGTCAAGGAATTAACTCTACTGGGGCTGTCTGGAAGGGGCAGATATTATATAACGAGGGTAATATATGTTAAATTGAGTAGATAATCATGTTTGGTTGTTTTGTTAAAAAACATTCCTGGAAAAAAAAGTGTCGAACACTGCCAATTTGGGGGTAAATTGCCAGGAATAATATTACCTGGGGAGAGGCTGTCATTAAAACATTCATCTGGTAATCCAAATTTTTGTCCAATCTTGCCCCAAAACAGTGGACAATGCAAACAAAAATATCCTTTGCTTTGTTAATAATTACAAAACAATAAATTTGCACAAGCAGACAGATTTGTCCACAATTTTTTAATTTTTTGGACGAAATTGTCATGGTTATTCTCATTATTTTCATAAATGCCACGAAATATTGGTGTACCCATATTATCCTCACGTATTTGAATATTGTGACCAATATGCCCTTGGATTTCAATAAAACTATTACTGGCCATTGCTTGCATTTTTGGAGATGTGTTATTACTTGCATTTAGTTGAGAAGATATTGAATGTTGAAAGAAGTAAGTCAGGTGCCTGAGCTTCCTGGCCAACTGTATATTGTTGTAAAGAAATGAAATACACCATTGTTGGGTAATTGCATTAAAAACCTCCATTGAAGATCTTTGTTAATGAATTTATGGAAGAATCTTAATGTGTCGGTCCATAATCAACTATGTCTGCATTATGCTGGACAAGAAATTGTGACAAGTTTTCCATTTCCATCTTTATATCAATAACACTTTGCATGAGAAAATTTAAATGACAGCTATAATGAATTTTCCAAAAAAAAAAAAGGTATTTCAAGAGATCTGTTATTACTGTCAACCAAACACATTAATTATTAATACATCTCAATTGAACCAAGCACACTAATAATTTAAATCCAATAATCTACAACGTAATCTATATTTTCAATAATCTTATTACTAAAATAAAAAATATTATATAACCCATGTTACATGAAAACTAGACCAGTTCGACCAGTAGCTGATGTCATCTTTGGTCTGGTATCCTCTGAAAACTGGTATTTTCAATCAAACTGGATTTAGCAGCGGTTGGACCGTCGGAATAGTGCCTAATCGCGGTCCAATCGTAACTCAATCCCTCAGGATTCCGGCTTCGTTCGAGGGAGAAAACACCACCATTAGACTTAACGACGTCTCCACGACAAAACCCAGCCATTTTCAGTGGCCGTCGTCTAGCCTTTGTCACTTGCCATCCACCTATGGTTCATGCGACCGTCGGACTTCCTTCTTGATTACGACAAGTTCCGACGCTGATGGAACTCCCTAACACCACCATCAGATTCATCGGCACCTATACATCAAAAGCCCTATGATTCTAAACTTTGATTGACCGTCGATTGTCGCTGCCGCCACCAGTCACTAGTCTCTTCACGTGACAGGGGTGTTTTGGACATATTTCAAACCTTAAGGGAGTATTATATAAGTGTTTTTGATGAATTTTAAACATTTAGGGACTAAATAATTTTGCAGGATACTGTCCAACCGACAGATCCAATCGATCAAACTGGAAACCAGACCCTTGACGGGTCATAGTCCGGTCTGGTTTTCATAACATTGTTACAAAGTACAAAATTGGATTTGAATGTCCCTTAAAAATAAATAAAATAAGAAAAGGTGAATCTTTTATTTCTAATCTACAATCATTAGGGTTTTGGTGTGACTGTTATCATATATTTAGGGTTTAATTAAGTTTAACCTAACCCTCCCATCTTGATATTGACTATGCTTGCATCATCCTATTATTGATTGCCCTCACATGCTTCTTATAGTAAAAAGCATAATCATTAAGGGGTATTGTGGGTATTGAATTCTTGACTGAATCATTAGCTCCTTTACTAGACCTGTGTCATGCAACAGCATCATCCAGCGTTTCGTGCAGTGTGATGATAACTGATGAGATCTTCAGTTTTTGTCCTCAGACATTTTGTCATGATTCCACTTTTGCCCACGTTTTGTTGTTCTAATTGCATATAAGTATGTATCCTCTTTTTAAGACATGTTTTATTAGCCCACCCCACCCCACCCCCATCTCATAAATCATAATTATTGCAAAAGGTTCACATTTTTATATATATTATAAGATTATGTTGATAAAATATTATATAAACTATTATTTAATCCATTAATTGAATATTGTATACAATTATCATAAAGTATTGTACATTTTTAGATGTTTTTAATGTCTCTTTGTCAGTTCTTGTTTGTAGTACACAATTATATGGAATTTCAGTAAGGGTTATGACCGATTTGGTTGAAAAAGAATAGTATATATTTTCGTCAGGGATTTTATGAAAAAAATTGTCTCATCTTCCTATCATTCCTTACGAAAGATATTTAATCTATCGGAATAAAAGTGAAAAAGGGTATTTATGTTCGTCGGTCCTTTATATGAAAATTAGAGACTCGGGGGCTATTCTTTTAACTCGTACTAATGAGAATTTGACTCTTTTTTTTTTTTTTTTTAAAATAATGAGTGAATAAAATGAAATATCAATTGAGGATTATGATAATAACCCTAATGTGACCACAAGTTTTTTTCCCATAAAAGACAATATCAACCTTATATAATCATATGACCCATTTTTTAAAAAAAAATTCATTTAAAAAGAATAATTTAAACTGAAATTTGCAATACCAATAAGGTACCTCAAATAACAAACACAAATGATAAAAAAACACTTCTCAATTGTTTAAAAACTTTGAATAGAGGGAAGAGACATTGATAATCACTAAGAGGTTCAAAAGAATTAATTGTTTTTTGGAAGCACATTTACCAATAGTATTTAGGCTTAATGTGTTTGGTTAAACGGCTATGCTTATGTCATTCAAACAATTAAAAACAAATCTAGCCTAATTAATTAATTTAATTAAATACTAATCTAGGATTAGGGCTAGTGCCTTGTAATTCGGACCTTTTAAAAAATAGATTTTAGATAGATTGAACGAGAAACGACCTTTTCCCACTCAAGTTTTGCCTTAAATGACACGTTCTAATCCAAAAAGTTTTAAAATATCATTTTTTCACCCAAAATTTATATGTTATTAATACCTAAAATACATTTCACTTTCTCAATCGACATTCGGTGAGTTACTAGGAGTTAGAGTCGACTGAATATTTGTCATCAAAATTAGCTAAGAACAAAAAATCCTAACTTTGTCATGACCGACAATCGGTGAAAAATCAAGTGTTACGGTGAGATATGTTTTGTAAAAAGAAGACCGAAGGTTCAAATGGTAATGACAAAAAGAATTTTTGCTATCAAAATCAGCTTTAGATAGTAATAAAATATAAACTTTGAGTAGGAAAATGGTATTTTAAAACTTTTTGGATGGTAAAATATCATTAAGATAAACCTTGGGTGAGAAAATGTCGTTTACTCTAATAGATAATACAATTTGAAGATTTTTACCGAGTCAAAATTGCATTAATTACTATGCGAATTTCTATTAGTAATTGTGTAATTTGATTGGAAGTTTCAAATAAAAACAAAGTGATGATAATATCTTTCTTTGACTATCTTGAAATGTGGCTTATTGGACATTGTTGAAACTCAAGAAGAAACAACGATGTAGTGTGCTTGGGCTTAATTAACTACCCTATCCTTGTGCTTAGCACTAATTAAACCCTAATTAATATTTTGATAAGTTCTTAATTACTATACAAGTTTTTGATTGTAGTGCTATTTAAATGGTAGCTCTAATTTCCAATAAGAATAAGAGAGAATGAGGGTGATTGGAAGTATAAGAGGGATTTGTCGATATAGTTCATTTATTTTAAACCTGCATTGTCTTTTGTGATTGGGCCAAAATGGGCTTTTTCAGGGCCTAGAATGACCCACAAGCAAGGAAAAAGAAAATAATTTATGTATTTAAAGAACTTATTTTTAGATGATGTAGTACAATGCTTTATTTTGTTTTTTTTTTTAATTGTAAATAAAGTTGTAATATTAATAAAAATATATAACTTCAAAATCTAATTAAATAAATACTGTAGGTTTGAAAAAACAACTGGCCTATTAGCTCAGTTGGTTAGAGCGTCGTGCTAATAACGCGAAGGTCGCAGGTTCGAGACCTGCATGGGCCAAATTTTTAAATTTTAATTTTTATGGGCTGGGTCAAATTTCACGGGCCGGAGAAACTGAACTGACCGTTGGGCAACGGTCGAAAACACAAATTTAAAAATTTCAAACACAATTGAATAATTTGGAAGTCACCAACGGTCATCTGCTAACCAATCTCTCTGGCTCTCGCTATTCTGCAACTTTCTCCCTCCAATTTTTCTTGCGTCTTTCCTCGCTAAATATTTTCACTCTTTTTTCTTACTAAATTCTGTTTCTCCCTTCAAATTAATCTGCTTCTTCAGATCTTAGGGATTTGATAACTGCCACTGAAGTTACAAAAAAAGTCAAACAAATGGAGGGTTCCAATGGCAAGAGTGTCTCCTCAAAAGCCTTTGTCAATATCAAAACATCTTCAACTAGTAAGTTTGCTTCTCTTTTCCTTCTTGATCTGTTTGTTTGTTGAGAAAATAGTCTGAAAATCAGAGGAATTGAATTAATTGTAAGAACTTTTTGCATTTTTTATTCAAGAAATTTTGTTTCTAATGTATAGGTACAGATGAGAATGATGAAAGTATAAGTTTGCAAAACTCAAAGAAATCAACAACAGCAAAGCATTTTATGTCACCGACTATATCAACAGCTTCAAAAGCCGTTGCTCCAAGAAAGAAAATTTTAGCTGAAAGGAATGAAAATTGTGATACCCATATCCCAAATCCTTTAAGTTTCAGCCTTTGTGATGATTCTTTGTCACTTAGTGATGATTCATCTTTGAAATCTTATGACCCTTCAAAAAATTGTACCTCACCAAGGCCTAAGTTTCTTAGGTATAAGCCTAATAGAAGAAGAGAGATAGTCTTAAGGCATGAAAATAAGGTCAAAGAAATGAAAGAGGATGCTTATTTAGTCTGTGCTTCTCTAGATGTTTTGGTGAAGGATGAAGTTGAAGTTGAAGAAGTAGAAGATGATGATTATGAAGTGGAGTAGGAGGAGGAGGAGGAGGAGGAGAAAGAGGGATTTTTGAGAAGGTTTTTGAAGTTTGTTTTTGTATTTTTTGTTTTGGTGTTATTTACTTTGTATATTTCTTCAATGAACTCTCCAACATCTTCTCATGCTTTTCAAGCTATTGAGGGTCTTAAAGATAAGTGGTATCCTAAGATTCATGATGGTGTATACGAGGCTATGAGGAGTCTTAGGGGTGAAGATAATATCTTGAGAACAATGGAGTTTAAGGATTTTGCGAAGATATTTATGGGTGGTAGTGAGTTTGTGGGAGATAATATGGGTTTAATGAAGTTAAACCAGACTTTTATTAATGAGGGATTTAAAGAAGAAGAGATGGTTGAAGATGTTAACTTTGAAGAAGTGAGTGATAATTTGGGTGAAGTGGTGGAGCTACAGGGTGGAGAGAGTAAAGATTTTGGTGAACTGATAGAACTACAAGCTGGAGGAAGTGAAAACTTAGAGGGTTTTGATCAGATTGTTGAAGATGTTAACTTTGAGAAAGTTGATGAAGTGATTGATAATTTGGGTGAAGTGGAGGAGCTACAGGGTGGACGGAGTAAAGATTTTGGTGAAATGGAAGAGCTACAAGCTAGTGAAAGTGAAATAGTAGAGGGTTTTGATCAGATACTTGAGAATGCTGAGTTGAAAGGGACAGAAGAAAAGGTAGAGAAGCTTGAATCTTTTGAAGATAATCAAGAAAGTGAGGTTGTAATGGAACCGGTTCAAGAAGTTAACAATGTGGTGGCCGGGGGCTCGAAAATGGTTGAAAGTGAACGCATCACTGACATTGAAACTCTCAATTCTGAAGCAGAGAGTAGTTCGAAGGAGGGGCTTATGGAGCAAATTGAAATGATCAGTTTCATGGCTGTGGTGGGTGTTGCTCTACTTTTCGTGGTTAAGGTATCTTTGTTAATGGCTTTTAACCTTACGAAGAGAAATATTAGAAAGGAAACTCCTCCAATCATTAGGCCTTGCAGTAATGAATCTGGGGTAATGGAGAAATGCAACCCAGAAATTCCTAAAGAGAGAGAGGAGCATGCCAAATGTGTCGATTCTTTTTCGAGTGCTATCCCCTTGGTTAATTCCATAGTGGCAGATTCTAAAGATACGAACCAAAGCCGAGGGCCATCGATTGAATTGCTAGCTGAATTTGAGGTGGGGGAGATAAGTTTCTCTCTTAGAAGTTGTGGTATGAAAAAAAGTAGGATTGAAGAAAGTGAAGTGAGCAGCCATTCTGTTCCCTTGGACAAGGAGTTTGGTAATTGCAGCAAGGCTCACTCAGTTTCTAGTCATGAAAATTTCTCTGAGTTCTCTGCCATGAACTCCTTTTCCTATGCATACATTACCCCTGAGAAGAAAATTTCAAAGAAAGAGGTCAGGTTCTATTACAAGCTACCCTTCAATTTTTGTTACTTGTCTAGATAATTAACTAGTTTCCATTAACAGTTGTTTTGTTTTGCTTCATAGAATCATTACTTAATCCCATACTTAAAAGTTTTTTTGATTTAGTATAGTTTTATAGTTCTAGATTACTTCTGATTAGTGCTATGATTTAGTCCCTTGAAGCTTTTGTAATGGTTAAATCAATTTGGACTTTTGTTGTGTATGTTATAACAGGATGTTCGAGATGGGGAGGCAAAGAAGGTGGTTATAACTCCAGTGAGGAGATCAAGCAGACTCCGAAACCGCACAATCACATCTCCATGAATGCTTCTCACTTGCAGCCATAAGAAACAGCACTCTCTGTTGTTTCCATATTAAAGCCTGTTTCCACTGAGAATCATTGCAGAAAATGCTTACTTACTTTGTAGGAGCTGATCAATATTGTAGCTTATCCAAACTTACTTTGCCTATCAAGATAATGATAATCAATTAATCTCCCCTTCCTTTTATCTGCCCTTTTTACTATTCTCTTTTGTTTCGCTTTTTGTGCATATTTGTCATCTATCAGAAGTTGGAATGATTAGCATAAGCTAATACTGAAGTTGGATTGGTTATCAAAGCACCAATGATATTGTATATATTGAATGTCTGTGGGTGAAGTGGATTCCATGATCAAGCAGATAATGTTGAAAAGAGATGACAATGTTAAAAGTATTGAGACAAGGTGGGGAAGACAACATTGTTTAAGGTGTTATTTCAAGCTAAAAAGAACATGGTTTTCGGATGTGCTTTTATTAAATTCCATATGCTAGAACACAGTTTCAGGTGTTATTTAATAAAGTTGATATTGGGGAACATGGTTTTTGGAAATGCTCTCTGATTCATATTTGCTTTAAATCCTATGTTATCTTGAAAAACAAGATTATTACTCATTTCCCTTTGTTTCCAAGTGCTTGATTGACTTTTTGGGTGGCTAACTATTTCTTAAATTATCCTATGATAAATTAATGATCACATAACTTCTATGAACTTTTACCTTAAGAAGCAATTTTTTTCTGTTGTAACCAAGGTATTCGGGTCAATTTACGTTCACTTCTATCGACCAATCCTCGGAAGAGACTAACGCAATAACCCATCGCTACGGTCTGCCACTTAAAATTGTGGATGTTCAGATGATGAATTGAACCTGAGACCATACGTCTATCTATACTATCTTTAATTCACCTTAACCATCCAAGTTACCTAAGGATGGGTATTTTGCCTTTTTGACTTCTATCTATTGAAGCCATTTCAAGATAATAGATAAACATTATGGCTCCGTTTGGTTCATTATTCTGATAGTTTTTAGAATAATCTTTTGAAAAAAGTTAAATTGGGCAGGTATTACGATGTATGATTTGAAATTAACAAAAATATCCCATATGTTTGTTTATTTACTAAACCCCCCTATAATAAAATATTAAAAGTTAACAAAAATACCTTTAACCCACCCATTAAATACGGATAGTCGGCCACCACCGTCGGAGGGTGGCTGGAGTATTTTTACAATTTCTAAAAAAAAAAATTTGAGGTGTTTAGTTAAATTAACAAATTTAGGAGGTTTAAAAGAAATTGAAAAATATAAAATAATATTTTGAGAATAATGACATTTTACTGTTTAATTTTTTTGGGAATACTAATAATAATATTCCCAAAACCGAACCACACGAAGCCTATAACACCAAGATCAAAATATCCTCCATCAAATATGCTTCAAATGATTGAAGGGAGCCCGTATATGGCATGCCATAATTTTATTATAGCTTGGATTGGAGAACCATATGACATGAATAGAAAATTCCTTGACCACAGAATTGGATGCCTTAAATTTTAGAGTATTAAAACATGGTAAGAATAACTATAGGTTTTTGTACATGAGTGGATTATTTATTTAATTTGGAAAGATAAGAGTGGATAATAATCAATATTCTAGCTTTAGCAAAGCCTGGATATGTTCAAAGATTTTAGAGCCATTAAATATATTTAGAATCTTTCCTTTTCCCTTTCATGATAGGATATTCTCATAAACTATCAGAAACCTTTATCAGAAAATTTGTAACACTCATAACATTAATTGCTCTCAAATATTTGTGTATATGGTGAATCAAATCATTCAACTGGGATTGGTTTGATAAGTTTACAGATCACAATAATCAAAAGTGCTTTTGTACAGGAGCTGGAGGAGGCCTACTATTAGCTAGAAAGGAGATTCTTCTACCAGGAAAAGATAAAGAAGAATAAGAACTTCTTGAAGATTTCTTTGATATGGTGGCCTTTGGATCAAGAACATATGATTTATGACTATCCAATCCACCGGCATAACTTTTACATGTCTTCATTTTCTTTCTGTAAGGACTCTCTTTCTTTGCCAAGTCTTCTATGCTCTTCACTCTGGACAGAGATGTGAAAGACTGTGACTTCCCTTGGAAAAATTTAGAAAGCCCTCTCCTGCATATACAAAACAATCACTCTTTAGCATAAATAGTTCTTTTAAAACTTTTTCAAGCGTCAAACTATGAACTAAACCTAAGCAGGTATCACCTCTTGTATAATCCCTATGGATCTAACCAGTTGAACTAATTAGTGCCTACGAAAAGGGTTTATATATATAATTCAAGAACACATAAATGAGCTAGAGAACTGTTTAGATTACTTACTTGATGGGGAGTTGAGCCATGAGGTCTGAGAATTCAAACAAAGGTCCATTATTAGAATTTGAAGAAGAGTTTGAAGAAGAAGCATCATCAACCAAGTCCGAAGAAGATGTTGATCCATGGGAATTAGTTATACTTGAATCTCCAAGGGATGAAGAAGAAGAAGAAGAAGACATGTTAGTGTAGGCATCTTCATGATCATCATCATCTCTATGCATGATCATCCAATTATGATCTTCTTGTTTTGCAATTGCATGCTTCTTCTTGTTATTATTATTATCATCATCATGCAGCCCTATGAAGCATGGAGCTTGCAGCAAATTTTGCTCACCTTTGGAAGCCATTAATGGAGCATCAAAAAATGAAATGATACCTTGAGAAGAAAGAAGGGTTTTTTGAAGATCATTAACACATATAGGACTTTTGTTGGAGTTCATTGAGTTATATATACACAAGAAAATGATATGCATAAAGTGTACATGGATTAGGTTGGTCATTTTCTAAGGAAATGCTTCCATCACACCTTAACACATGGAGTTTCCATGCTTTTTGACAGGATGTGTCACCGCCCACCACATGTAACATGGAGTCTTTGTGATATAATAAGGTAGACTATTCAATTAATTAATACATTTAACAAGCTTTAATTTCCACAATTTTTTTTGTTTTGATGACCAGAGTGTTCGGCTCAGTTTATACGTATCTTGATTAATTCTTGGAGTCCATTGAATACCCTACAAGCTTAATGTTTCAAGATAAACAACAAATATGATATGTAACCCCCAAAGTTCGAATTTAAGAAGTCAATGAAAGAAGCAAATCTCTTGACCGTCAGGCCAACCATTTGGGGTTAATTTTTACAATATTTATAACTAATATCCTTTGTCTAATACAATTAAAAATCTTTCCAAACAGTTAAAAAATTTTGTTTCCTCTGGGTTGGCATCATTTTAACAATCTTCGTCGTGGCAACAAATATGGGCAAAGCTACAAGGTGGCTAAGGGCTTCTGGGTATGAAAAAGGAGAAAGAAAAGACCATTTAGAGAACTCATTTTCAGATTCAAATTAAGTTTCAGTGACAACAGGAAGGAGAAGAAGGTTCAGTTTTGGCAAGTCATTGAAAACAGAAGTGTGAATTCTCAGATTCGAGCCAACATTGCAGCTAAATTCCACAAGAGACATGGACTGCTCAGGTCATACATTGCAACTAAAAGTACCGAGAACAAGCATGCAATTGCTGTGGCTGCAGCCACCGCGGCCGCCGCAGATGCAGCGGTGGCTGCGGCTCAGGCACCGTAGCGGTGTGAGGCTGACTAGTAATGGTACAGGGCTCTTTCGGGGGAGGGAAAGAGAATGGGGCTGCTGTGAAATTCAGACCGTGTTTTAGGGGCTTTGGTATGTGGGATTTGTGTTTTGATTCATTTACTCGCCACTTTTGCTTTAATTTGATTTCACAAATAGTTTATCAGTGGGTGTTTTTTTATATTTCCAATGTTTCTGTTCACTAAGGCATGTTTGTGTTACTGCCAAATAGTTATGGTAAGTTTTCGTTCACTTTGCTTATTTTTACTTATGTTGGTGCCATTAAAATATGGTCCCTAAGATTCAAATGGAATGGACAGTATAAATGCTCATTTTACTTTCTATTCTAGTGCTTTTTACTTTTTTCTTTGCTTGAACTGTAAGAGTGTTTGATTTTGTTGTGGTGGTGCTTTTCTTAATTGCTACTTTATGTCTGCTTCTAAAGCTGGTTATGGATTATATTTTGTTGGTGAACAGTACATATGCTTTTATGAGTCAATGGATTAGTTGGCTACTTTGACTTAGCAGTTAGCCCAGTTTTTCACTTCTTGTATTCTGGTCCCCTACCCTGAATTTGAAATTTGAAATTTGAAGTCTTGTTTTCTGAATTGGGTTTCTTTTGTTGCTGCTTACTGTTGTGAATCATTCTTGTATGATTGTGATTTACAATTGCATTAAGGCTTACCCCTTTTGCTGATTCTGCTTTTAATGAATAGTTCTGCATTGTGTGTATTTGAACCTCAGTTTGGTTAATTTCAGGCCCGGAAAGCCCTTAGAGCGTTGAAGGGATTGGTGAAGATACAGGCTCTTGTTCGGGAATCTTGTCCGAAAACGGCAACTGCAACACTTCACAGCATGCAAGCCTTAATCAGAGCTCAAACTGCAGTCGGTCTCAGCGTGCTCGCCGCTCTTTCAATAAAGAGAATCGATTTCAACCAGAGTTTCGACCACAAAAATCCATCGTAAGGATACTCTCCATAGTCTTCCATTTTAGAGATCGATTTGATTGGAACATTTGATCCATTTGAGTGTTATGAATGTTTCCAGGAGAGGTTTGATGAAGCAAAAGTGAAATGCATAGTAAAAAATATCTGTATGTCTTGAGAGTCCAATTAATGGATTTGATGAAAGTCCTAAAATAGTAAATCGACACATTCAAGCCAAGATCAAGGTCTCGTCGCTACATGCTGCATTGTCCGAGTGTGGTGATGAGCTATATTACCCAATGTCTCACCTCTTCCATGTCCAGTTCCAGCCCGAATCTCAATCCCCAATTACCAAAAACATCCAGATTCGAATGGTGCTTCACCGGCGACGAATGCAGGTTCTCTACCACCGGCACAACCCCCCTCGTTTGCAAATTCTGTTCGATCAAGTGCTCCTCTAACTCCATCCAAGAGCATATGCGGTGATATGACACCAGTTATTCCAACTTCCCAAATTATATGGCAACACCAATCGTTCAATGCAAAACTGAGGTCCTACAGTGCCCCAAGGCAAGAACCAACCGGGGGTGAAGAAGAGCCTTTCGCTGAATGAAATTATGGCTTCAAGAAACAGCATAAGCAGTGTGAAAATGCAGAGGCCCTCCTGTATTCAAGTTCAAGAAGGTTTGAACTAGGAAGTATTGTAGAAAAGATTTGATGATAAATTTGGCTAAGGTTTAATTTTTCTAGTTTTATGTTAACCGCAAGCAAAACAGGGAACGAAAAAAAGTGCTTGTGTAATTCTTTCAATTTTCTTACTGAATCTTTGCCTTATCAATGAAATGAGAGAGCTCTCAGTTTATGTTGCAAATGTAATTGGTTTGTTCTTCACTTCACAATTTACAACATAGTGCTTTCTTTATTTCATCTTTTTTTCTTTGGTATTTTATGTTTAAAGTGTTTTTTTTTTTTTTTTAATTTAATTATTTTATACTTCTTGGGTTTTATATTATACGCAGGTCCTTAAATTTTAAATGTACAAATTAAAAGTTTTTTAAATTAACATTTTTTTTTTTTATAAATTATTCTGTCTTGACTAATCTTTGGGTGAGATTAATACCCAGGAATGCAGATGAGCAATCCCCTTCCACTTAAAACTGTGATGTTTAGATTAGTCGAAACTTAGACCTTACGCCTATTACACAACCTCTATTCGCCCTAACTATACCGCCAATGGATTCTGTAAAATCTTTATTTTGATAAACTATACTCAAAGAATTTGTACCAAATAGACCCTAAATCTTAACTGCTATATGTTTTCATATTAGTTAATTTAATAAGAATATTATCAAACTTTGAGCTACAACTTTTTCCCACCCAAGGATTGCCTTATTGACACTTTCCCACCCAAAAAGTTTCAAAATACTACTTTCTCACACACGTTTATATCTGTTAATATCCAAAATACACTTCACTTTCTCAACCAGCTTTCAACGAATTACTAGGAGCCAAGTAAGAGGTTTTTGTATAAGGAGGGCGGTGGATCAAATGGTGATGACTGATTGAATATTCGCTGTTGACTGGAAATAGCTAAGAACAACAAGAAACCTTAGCTTTGCGTGGCAACAATCGGCAAGAAATCAGTGCCAGAATGAGAGGGTTTTGTAGAGAGTAACCAGAGGTTCAAATGGTGTGACATAGAAAATTTTCGCTGTCGAATCGATTAATTAGCTTTTGGTAGTCACTGAATATTAACTTTGAGTGAAAAAATTGTATTTGAAACTTTTTGGGTGAGAAAGTGTCATTAAGGCAAACCTTGGGTGGGAAAAGTTGTTTACTCTCAAATTATATAAGAAATACTTGAATATCTTATTTATGTGTCAGAATTAACTCTACGGGCTGTCTGGAGGGCAGATATATATAACGGGGTATATATGTTAAATTGAGTAGATAATCATGTTTGGTTGTTTTGTTAAAAACATTCCTGAAAAAAAAGTGTCGAACACTGCCAATTTGGGGGTAAATTGCCAGGAATAATATTACTGGGAGAGGCTGTCATTAAAACATTCATCTGGTAATCCAAATTTTTGTCCAATCTTGCCCCAAAAACATGGACATTGCAAACAAAATATCCTTTGCTTTGTTAATAATTACAAAACAATAAATTTGCACAAGCAGACAGATTTGTCCACAATTTTTTAATTTTGGTGCAAATTCATGGTTATCTCATTATTTCAAAATGCCACGATTGGTGTCCCTTTATTCCTCACGTATTTGATATTGTGACATATGCCTTGGATTTCAATAAACTATTATGGCCATTGCTTGCATTTTTGGAGATGTGTTATACTTGCATTTAGTGAAAGATTATGAATGTTGAAAGAAGAGTCGGTGCCTGAGCTTCCTGGCCAACTGTATATTGTTGTAAAGAATGAAATACACCATTGTGGTAATTGCATTAAACCTCCATGAAGATCTTTGTTAATGAATTTATGGAAGAATCTTAATGTGCGGTCCATATCAACTATGTCTGCATTATGCGGGACAAGAAATTGTGACAAGTTTTCCATTTCCATCTTTATATCAATAACACTTTGCATGAGAAAATTTAAATGACAGCTATAATGAATTTTCCAAAAAAAAAAGGTATTTCAAGAATTCTGTTATTACTGTCACCAAACACAATTAATTATTAATACTCTCAATTGAACCAAGCACACTATAATTTAAATCCAATAATCTACAACGTAATCTATATTTAATAATCTATTACTAAAAATAAAAAATATATAAACCCATGTTACATGAAAACGAGACCATTCGACCAGTAGCTGTGTCACTTTGGTCTGGTATCCTCTGAAAACTGGTATTTTCAATCAAACTGGATTTAGCAGCGGTTGGACCGTCGGAATAGGCCTAATCGCGGTCCAATCGTAACTCAATCCCTCAGATTCCGGCTTCGTTCGAGGGAGAACACCACCCCATTAGACTTACGACGCTCCACGACAAAACCCAGCCATTTTCATGGCCGTCGTCTAGCCTTGTCACTTGCCATCCACCTATGGTTCATGCACGACTTGCGCACTCTTCTTCTTGATTACACAAGTTCCGACGCTGATGGAACTCCCTAACACCACCATCAGATTTCATCGCACCTATACATCAAAAGCCCTATGATTCTAAACTTTGATTGACCGTCGATTGTCGCTGCC